TTCTGCAGGCTTCTTGGCTGGGTGGTCTCCTCCTTCCCCCTGCCCCGATGCTGCAGGGGGCCCTCCCTGCCCCCCCCCGCCTGGCCCCCAGTCTCGTAAATGGTGGTGGTGGTCAGCCCAGGGACAGGAGTTTCCACAGCTGCTGCCTCCAGAGCCTCCACTCTCTGCACCAGGGGCCGGGAGCCACCAGCCCAGCTCCTGTGGCCACCAGGGGCACGGCACGCAGGGGCACAGCAGCTCTCCTCCCAGGGAGCAGGTGCCACATTCTCATAGCAGCTTCTGCCCAGGGAGTCGCACGATGCCTCCTGGGATCTGCTGGGCTGCAGAGGAGGAACCCCTTGGACTGTGCTCCCAGAGGCCTTTTGCTTCCAGGTGGGGTTGAGGGCCTCTGGGGGGGACCTGGGACTCTGAGGGCCAAAGTGAGTCCCTTCCGCAAAGGAGACAGAGGGCCGCTTGCCCTTGGCAATGCTGGAGGTGCGAGGGATGGCAAAGGGTGAGGGATGCAACGCTGCCTCAGGGAGAAGGCTGGGTGGATAGCTGTCCTCCGGGGCTGAAAATGCAGAAAAAGATTTTAAAAAGAGTCTTGGGCTGGGTAGCAATTCAGGAGGCGGTTGCACGGCTCAGTCCCTGCACCCCCTACCAGGCGCTGTGGCACACGCCTCCTGCTGAACCTTGGCTACACGTTAAGCAAAAGCTAATTCGGGGGGAGCCAAGCCCACAGCAGCAGGGCCACAGCAACCCCATGAGCAGGGCTGTGACTTTCGAGCCTCCTGTGGGAGGTGGCTTGGAGGCTGTTGGGGGCTCCCGCAGGGCTTTTGTAGGCTTTTTTCCTCCAAAGGAGAGGGGCCTCCGCGTTGACTGTCTGATTCTCTGGTGAAATCGGGATGGGAGGTTCAGGGGCTGCCAAAATGGCTTTGGGGCCACAGGCTACTCTGCTCTGGTGTAGCACCATGAGTGGCCCAAGAGGACTAGCAGCTTTGGGGAACCTTTGGTGCTCTGTGGGTGGGGGCAGAGGGAGGACATCAAGATTGCTTTGGGCTTGTTGCAGAGGGGATGCTATCTCCCCCCCACACTCCTACCTTCACTGGGAGGGAGAGCGGACTGTGGCCCTTGGCAGCCCCCCTTTTCTTCATCGGCTCTGTCGGAGGAGGAGGAGGCGAAGGAGCTGTCGGAGGGCCAGGCAGCAGAGGCTGCTTCGATGAAACTGGGGTTGAAGGGAATCTCTGGGTCACGGTGGGCAACTGGGGGGGACGAGAAAAGTGGAGGAGCACAAGCATCAGAGCACTGGCTGCCTGTATAAGGCCCAACCCTCTCCTGCCACAGGCGCTGCCCCTCGGCCCCCCTTGGCTCTGGGGACAGCAAGCATGCCAGCTGGGCTGACTTCCAAGGACCGCAGGCAGAGGCCCGGAGACAGAGACACCTTCCGGCTGCAGCCTGGAGCCCCTTGCACATAGGTCCTCTCCTCACCGGTCACCCGCGGAAGCTTCGAGCCCCCCCCTGAGAGGCAGGGCAAGCTGGAGGTGAGGTCAGGCAGCAAGGCCGTCACGCGATGCTTCGCTCGAGAGAAGGGATTCTCCTCGGCCCCTGGTGCCCTAGGAAAGAGGAGCCGCAGCTCGGGGAGCCACAGAAACTCGGAAGACCCCCCATCTCCCCCATCCAGGCCTCCTGGGCCCAGCTGGCCAGGCAGAGCACATTCCCCTGGGGTCACAGGGAGGCAGCCAGAGCAAGGAGCCCCCTCCCCTCGGGGAGTGAATTAAGCCTTTCTAGCTCTCTCCCTGTGTTAGACTGGACCAGAGCAAGCTCTATGATGTTCCCCTGACTGTTCTGCTCAAACCCGTCTGGGGTGGGGGTCAGCCCAGTCTCAAGAGAGGCCCCTCTCTTGCCCTGGACCCCAAAACAAGGAGGATGTGCAAGGAGGGAAGGGTCCTAGCCGTCATGTGCACTGAATTCCCCCAGGCACAGGGGCTGTGACCCTCCTGGCCGCAGCACAGAGCAGCTGGGCAAGGAAGTGGCGGGTCCTTTCACCTGTGCCCAGAGGCTGCCCCACAGCGGCAGCAACAGCAACAGCAGCAAAGCAGGAGCAGGAGCAGGAGCAGGAGGGGGCCCAGTATGCCTGTGAGGAGGGCCTCCTGGTCTTGGAGTCCTGGAAAAGGAAGAAAAGAAAATCAGAGGAGCGAGAAAACCCCCTCCTCCCCAGGGGGTGGCTTTGGATTGGCCTCCGGCCCGGCCCAGGGAAGGCAGACTCACGCCACTGGCAGTCTCCAGAGAGTGGGTGGCATGGTGCCCCCGCACAGTGGCAGGGCGCTGAGCAGTTGGGGCCATGAAAGGCTTCCGGGCAGGTCTGGTTGCAACTGCAAAGAAGGCAGAGACGGAAATGGGCCCAGGCCTGGGGGAACAGGGGGTCCCCGCAGCTGCCCCCTCCTCATTACCTGGTGCCCCAGTAGCCAGCCTGGCAGAGGCAGGTTCCAGAGACAGGATCACAGCTCCCGTGGAAGCAGTCCGGGCAAGGAGACTGGCAGCCGTCTCCAAAGAAGCCGGGGGGGCAAGGGGTCTCGCACCTGCAGCAAAGCCAGGGAGCTTTGAGGGGCAGAAGCGAGCACAGGGCCACCTCTCAGCGTTTCTGGTCCAGAGGGCCGGGAGAGGGGCAGATTCTCCGCGTGCACCCTCCCTTCCCCAGCTCTGCAAGATTCCTTCCGCTCTGCTTGCTTGCTTGCTGCTCTCCCCGCCTGAAACGCTCCTGTGCACAGAGGGGCCAAGCTCACCTGGCCCCCGCGAATCCTGCCTCGCAGTTCTGGCATTCTCCTGTCTGCAGGTGGCAAGTCTCTCCTCGGCGACAGCGGGGGCACAGCTGGGTGCAGTTCTCTCCGTACAGGCCCCGAGGGCACGGCTGCTTGCAGTGGATCCCGTTCCAGCCAGGGTCGCAGGCCAGGCAGGCCCCGTCAGTGGGGGAGCACGGCTCTTGGTTCCTGCAATGGCCACAGCTGCAGGTGCGGGGCAGAAAGAGCGCAGGGCGGTGAGCGGCCGCCTGGGGGGCACAGTGCTTGGGTCCTCTCAGTCCCCTCCGGTCTGGCCTCTTCTGCGCCATGGGCTCCTTACCTGTGGGCGCACTGGGATCCGTACGTCCCACCAGGGCAGGGCTCAGTGCAGCTTTGGCCCCTGTAACCAGCATCGCAGGTGCAGCGTCCATCCTGAGGTGCGCACGTGCCGTGCAGACACTGGCACAGGTGCTGGCAGGCTGCCCCCCACCACCCTGCCTTGCACTCGCATCGGCCAGACTCCTGGGCGCAAGGCGAGCCGTTACAGCTGCAGAAAGAGGCACATCGCCTGCCCCACCAGCCCCGATGGCAGAGACAGCGGCCCGTCACTGGATCGCAGCGAGAGCCGGAGAGATTGCACTGGCACTGCCGCCGACAGTCAGGGGCCCACCAGCCTGGCTCGCACTGGCAGGTCCCCGTGACAGGGTGGCAGTGGCCTCGCTGCCCACACAGGCAAGCTGACTGGCAGAGCGGTCCCCACCAGTCGGGGTGGCAGCTGCACACTCCACTGGCTGGGTGGCACCTCCCATGGGGGTGGCAGCGGCAGCTCTGCTTGCAGTCCGGGCCCCAGTACTGCTCCGGGCAGCCTGAAAGGGAAGGACAGATCGTGCTCAGCCCCCTTGGACCAGCCCCCTCCCCCGGCTGTAGGGTCTGCCGAAGAGTCCGGTGGCCAGGGACCCTTGTGCCCTCCCGAGCTGCCAACCTTAGCAGCACGCTCCTGCCCAGCTAGTGCAAAGGGGGTACTGAGGAGGAAGTCCCCCAACAGGCAGGCCTGAGCAAGGCAGAGCTTATTGGGGTGGTTGGTTGGAAGTCGCCCTCCCCTGAGCTGCCCCAGCAAGAACTGGTGGAAGAGCACTGTTTTCAGCAGGCCACTGTAAAAGGTTCTGCTGTGATCTGGGGCTTCCTGCTGCCCCTCTTGTTGCCTTGACCCCCTCAGAGCCGGGGGAGCAGCTTCGTGGCCTCCCACCCCAAGCAGTACTCACGGGCACTGCAGTTGGCCCCGAAGAAGCCCGGCCGGCAGCGGCAGACAGCAGGGCGAACGCAGACCTCCTCCTCCCGGCAGGCGTCGGCCCCCAAACAGAGGGCTGGTGGAGGGCAGAAGAAAGTGCAAGGTGAGGCGGGGGGGGGCTGTCCCTGCCCTCAGAGGGAGGGTGGTCAAGGCGGCCGCGGCCCCCCCTCCCCCGGGGGCAGGGGCCACCCCCCCCCCGCCTCACCTTGCACTTTCTTCTGCCCTCCACCAGCCCTCTGTTTGGGCGCCGCCGCCTGCCGTGAGGAGGGGGTCTGCGTTCGCCCTGCTGTCTGCCGCTGCCGGCCGGGCTTCTTCGGGGCCAACTGCAGTGCCCGTGAGTACTG